TAATCTTAGTATCTAAAAGACTATCTTTGTCCCAGAATTTTCTTCGAAACACTTAATTTTTAAGATTAAACGTTGGATAAAACTCTGGGCGCTAGGTAACAACTATAAATCCATGAAGGTCCATAATCACTATATATATATTTACTCAACGATATTTAACCTACTCTTTGATTTACTTTTTGGTAAATTGTTTATATATCAAAATATTTCTATAATTTTTTACAAGAAGTATATTTTTGGAATCAGTTTTTTGTGTGCATAACATTATTTTGTAATGGCTAGGCGACAATATGAGCAATGCAAGCATATACAGAGAACTGTCCCAGAGTACGCTGCTGACGAAAGTAAGTGCACTTATGTAGTATTTTAACTAGTAACAGTTTATTATTCATTTTTTTTATTTTACTTATGACTGGACATTATTGGTATATGCACTATCAAAATGCCGAAATATGCATTAAAAAAGGCGAAACATGATTAATTGAAAAACTATTTATTGCAAGATTTATCTTTATTTTAAAATAATATATATATATATTGATTTATTTAATATTTATATGCAAATGCATAAAAGAAAGCACTAAAAAAGCATCTCCACTAGATGGCGCGACTCTAGCAAAAGATGATTTTTGCAGGAAACGAATGGACCGAAGACTATCATTTCCGTTCCTTTTAATTTGCATATAAAAAAAAACTGAAAATTGCAAAGTTCGAAACTTAGATATCAATACAAATACGAAAAAGTACAAATATAATATGAGTTGTTTATTGAGTTTTGAAAACTAATTTACTTTCATACATGAAAGAAAACCGGAAAGGTTGTCATGGAGAAATCAAGAAAGTACCGTAGCGACATCTAGTTTGATGTCGGGAACTAATTTTTTTTTACATACTTCCTCATTAACAACTTCACTCAATATCTTTGTAAAAATGTCAATGTTAAATAGTTGTAGCGTGTAGTTCGTGAATATCTTTCAAATGTCAAGTTGAATCGATATTGCGAGATTGCGATAGATTTTACAATCAGCCCTGCGATTCTGTCAAACTTCAAACCCGATTTCGAAATCACTCGGGTGTCCGAATTCACTTCAAAAAGCGGCATCCGCTCAAACTTGAATTGATAATAATGTTTCGTGAAATAAGTGAAGTAAGTTTCGAAATGATAAAGGAATTAAATATCTATGACACGTTTAATCAATCAATTTTGTTTAGTATTTTTATACAAAAATGGAATCAATATGATTTCTATACTAAATGACGTGAATTCGGACACATGAGTGAATTCGAATTCGGGTCTGGATTGTTCCAGAATCGCAGGGCTGATCTCATTCGCTCCAACAGCGATTGCATTGGGACTTCAAAACTCAACTAATTCGACAAATAGCTGTTATAGCTATAGCTTTGAAAAAGATAGTGATAGATTTTCAAATTTGACAAATAACTAGCCCATTGATTTAAATATAAAATTTAAAATGTTATCCATTGAAATGCCCCGTGTATTTTATAATCATTATGTTTTACGCTAATATGGTTCTAATGTGGACAGTTGCTTTGATGAAAAAAAAAAAATCATTATGTAAGAACAGGGCCATCTATTGACAGTAAAAGTGAAATAAACGGAAACCTTGAACTTCGGAAATATGTGCAAAATAACGTTTTGCAGGCCTTATACAAGAAATAGGGCGGAACTATAGAACGCTGCCTACCTTCGAGAAGAGTCTGTATGAACACCTCTACATCAAACACTACTCTTTGCAACGCAACGAGCTACTGAAATGCCGTTGGAATATCTACAAAGACAACCTGTCCAGTCATGTTATTGAACCATTCCAGTTTCCGAATTTACGGTAAGTACTAGCTTTTGCCCGCGACTTCGTCCGCGTGATATAGTTACTTTGGGCATCATATTTTCCAAAAACGCTTTTGTTTTTTTGAGCTGATGATGAAATTACCTTGATGTTTAAGTTCGAAGATAGTACAACAAAATACCAACGAATGTCCAATATGTTTCAGCACTTTATCTTTGAAACTTTAGAGATATTAATCCAATTCAATGCAATTTACCTCGTAATTTTTTACTGGGTGGACCGATTTTGATAATTTTTTCTTTATTTAAAAGTAAGTGCTTGCCGTGTGATCTTATCAATGGCATCTATGAGAAAACCATAAAAGTCTTATTGCATTAAGTATGCGTGATGTTTGTTATCCCGAATCTCAATATATCACTTACATCCATGAAATAAAAACTTTTAAAAAATGGAACTTCAAATTAAAAAAAGTGAAAAATAATACTCATCTTAAAAGAGGTTAAAAGTAAAAAAAAAACGTTTAAGTCGGGCTGAGGTTTTCTGTAGTTAATTAAATATTAACCGCCCGAAATAACCACTACTTATTATAATACAAAGTCCCCCGCCGCTTCTGTCTGTCTGTCTATCTGTTCGCGATAAACTCGAAAAGTACTGGGCGGATTTTCATGCGGTTTTCAACAATAGAAAGAGCAATTCATGAGGAAGGTTTTACTGTATGGTAAGTTTAGGTTTTGTACAAACTGACGATATAACAACGATATTAGTTCAAAATGTCGGAAAAAATAAAGCCGATCGGATGCTTTCCTCGAAAACGCTGCCAAAAAATTTTGAGTAATAACAAAACATTGTATGGTGGAATTGTACCTCTTAAATAGATCTACAAAAAAGTCCGTGGTGGTTTTTAAATGTACACTTAAAACAATAAAATGATGGGTTACTTACGAACCTATTTTTAACAATACAGTATTGATCCTTATTCAAATAAATGAGTTCGAGACGTTATGATTGTAATGTAGAGAAAAATTGCCTTTAACGCTATATAAAAAAAAAATTAATAACTAATGAGTTATCGAAAAATAAAAATATCCGAGCGAGCTATTAAATATCGATGAATAAAAATGAATCGCCCAAACGTATGTACGTGCATGACTTCGAATTCCAGTTCCTACTGCACCAAATTGAACGATTCTATTTTTTATGTGTTCCACGATTCATGACACAGTTTTTATATAAGACTTTTTTTTAAACGGGTATAAGGCGTTACGAAGTTCGCCGCGTCAGCTAATGATAATATATAAACATAAAACCAACATAGCGTTGTGAATACAAATTTGATCAAATATAATAGACGGAAAGCACGTGCAGTGGCAGACTAACACTGTCGGGGGCCCGGGGCGGCATTACAACTTTTTACAACTGGTGCAGAAACTTGATTTTGTGTTTACACCGCCTCTCCTGCTAAGACGCCGGCTAAAATTACGAAACTAAGAAAAATAAGGCAGTACAACCCCAATTTATGATTTGATCAAGGGAACTTTGCCCCGCTCACAAGTCAACTTGATGATGGCTGAAAATCGGCGCTTCGCCCGTTCCTGGGTGATTTGAATGCGCTGAGCCTTGACCCTTTTCTAACTGCTACACACAGGTACATCATGATTAATAATTTATTTGATTTAACTTTCTTTTTATGTGTGATTCAAAACTTTTTAGATGTAATTGTGTATAGTTATTAATAATTAACGTTTTATCTATCTATATATCTATCTTTCAGCCATTTGGATGCCCCCCAGGATAAGAGGCCCGGGGCGGATCGCCCCTTCCGCCCCCCCCTTTAGTCCGCCACTGAGCACGTGTTAAAAATGTGCAAGTGCTTATTAGAACTTAATATTTCAGTGTGATTAAGTACTAAGAGTATACATCACTCATTCATAACCCAGTGCGGAGGTCAGGCGTTCCAAAGCTGGTAAAAACTCCTTAGTTGCAATTCTTACTATAGGATACGACATCTTATCGGTGTTATGGCGATATTTCGTTTAATTTTACTACTCTGACATGTACTTTAGTAATGAAGATAAATAATGATGATTATGGATTTAAAAGTTTGATAGTAGTAATACCAAATTATTAATTTATCCCAAATTTATCCACCAAATGATTCAAGGCTAGAAAGTTATGCGGTCGCTCTGCTGGTGTTATTAAGGCTCTTTATTATTCGAAATCCTTTATTGAATATAGCAAAAGCACAATTCATAATACAATATACCTGTAGATATTTATACATCAATATATGTATAGGTAGTACCTACGCACTCCAGTTAATGTCGTCTTATTCGAAATGTCACTTTTAAAGGACACATATATCAGAAGCCGATATTAGACGTTCCATTTTGGATGTTACGTCGATAGAACCTAGAAAATTTAGTGTTTTAATATGATGTTTTATCTTCCATCGCTGATGCGCCTTTTTCATGATAGTCACTAGACGACCGTTTGCTTAAAACGGCAAAGTTTATCATTTAGCATAAGTAATGATAGATGTACGTGTAAACAGGGGCAATTTGTTTCATTGCAGTATATAGGTTCATATGATTATTAATCTATGAGTTATCAACGCCTCAGAACAAATTTTTCTTTATTTACAAATTTCTATTTGAACAACTTTAATCCTCCAAACTATTTATAATCAGCTATCCGCCAGCGACTTAAACTTTCTTTAAATACAATGAGGTAGTATAAAAAAAAAAGAAATCGCTAAAAATGCACCTCTCTAGATGGTGACTATAGCAAAAGTTGATTTTTGCAGGAAACGAATGGACCCAATATAGTCATTTCGCTTTCCTTTAACAAGCGTATTAAAAAACTGAAATTTACAAAGTTCGAAACTTGATATCAATACAAATATGAAAAGTGCAAATAGAATATGAGTTGTTTATTGAGTTTTAAAAATTAATTTACTTTTATACTTGAAAGAGAACCGAAAGGGTTGTCATGGAGAAATCAAGAAAGTACCGTAGCGACATCTAGTTTGATTTCGGGAACTATTCTCTTTTTAATACTGCCACATTTTGACGTGTTGAGGCGACATAGTGTAAGTAGGTACTCACTTTACTTTCACATTTAAAAGCAAAATTCATTCACTACTCATCGTTCATCAGCAGTGAATGATTTTCGATGAAACGTCTAATATAGGCTTTACATAGGATGGATACGGACACCTCCTGTTCGCGGTAGCACGCGATTGGCACCTAGTCCGCTGATAGCATCTGCGCCAAGATAAACTCCAACATTCAAAGTCGACCGTATGGGAACTCTGCCTTTTTCGACGTCTGTTATCACACGTTCTCCTGCCCGAATGACACCTTCACTACGATCACCGGCACAGGAATGAACAGTATCCATAATTGTGCCTCCAATTGCGGCGCCGCCGGCCGCCCCTGCCGGTCCAAATACGCTACCAACAATTGCCCCACCCGTTACGAACGAGGCTCTATTTGCTGCTTTCAAAGACTTGATTCCTTCCTCCTCATCTCCACAAAGGAGATGTAAACCGCCTTTGATATGGCCTCCTATGGGTATGTGGTTAATAAAATTCATTTTGACGATATTCTAGTAGCTTTCGATCCAAAATGTCCTGCAACAATCAATGAAGAAGAATTAAAAAAAATAAAGCACTAAAAAAGCACCTCCACTAGATGGCGACTCTAGCAAAAGTTGATTTTTGCAGGAAACGAATGTACCAAAGATAGTCATTTCCGTTCCTTTTCACTTACATATAAAAAAAAAATGAAATTTACAAAGTAAAAAACTTAGATATCAATGCAAATACGAAAAAATACAAATAGAATATGAGTTGTTTATTGAGTTTTGAAAACTAATTTACTTTCATACATGAAAGAAAACCGAAAAGGTTGTCGTGGAGAAATCAAGAAAGTACCGTAGCGACATCTAGTTTGATGTCGGGAACTCATGTTTTTTTTAATATTTCCTCATTAAGATAAAGGTATAGGTTTACATTATTGAGGAAGTATTTAAAAAAACATCTACGGTTCTTTAGTCAAAATATCTAATTGGAACATTTATCCCAATACTTTTCAAAGCGCTTGTGCTAGTTATTCATTGAATTATGTAACTTTTAAAGTAGTGGTACAGTGTAACAGTAGGAATCACTTTTGGGACAAATGATGATTTGAACGACCAAAGAATATAATAAGAGCTTACCTAAACCTGTCAAAAGAATGCATATAACACAAAACTCTTTCGTATGACGCTTGACGCTTTCAAAAATATTTGTATCTAACACTTGCTCATCATCATCAGCCCTGTTACTGCCCACTGCAGGGGCTCAGGCCTTCCTTATGGATGGTTAGGAGGATGGGCCATGACCATCCACACGGGCCCAATGCAATAACGACTGCGCAGCCAGGAGCTGTTGCTCCTGGCTTAACGTGCTTAACGTGCCTTCCGAAGCACGGAGTAGCTCGAGATAGTAATTTTTTGGTCACCCATCCAAACCTTTGCGAAAGTTCGCGGCGGCGCTTATCCACTACGCCACCGAGCTACGTTCTAACACTTGCTAATACATTCCAAGTAACGTTATCGTTCGTTAAATATACATACACTAGCTTTCGCCAGCGGCTTCGCCCGCGTGGACCCTAGAGTCTTAAATGCTTAGTGGGATAAAAAGTATTATCTAAGTCAGCTAATACCCTATCTGTATACCAAATTTCGTCAAAATCCGTTCAGTAGTTTCGGCGTGATTGACCGACAAACATCCAAACATCTAAACATTCAAACAAAGAAACTTTCACATTTATAATATTAATAGGATAATAGGATATATCAAGTAACGGTCGAAATCGCTATCACATGTAAGCGTCCTTATTTTCAAACTTATCTATGTACTTAATTTTAAAAAAAATTAGTTCCAAAAATGAAACTAGATGTCGCTACGGTACTTTCTTGATTTCTCCATGATAACCTTTCCGGTTTTCTTTCATGTATAAGAGTAAGTTTTCAAAACTCGATAAACAACTCATATTCTATTTGTACTTTTTCGTATTTATATCTATAATATATAATTTGGTATCTAAGTTTCGAACTTTGCAAATTTCAGTATTTTTATATTTATGTAAGTTAAAGGAACCGAAATGACTATTTTTGGTTCATTCGTTTCCTGCAAAAATCAACTTTTGCTAGAGTCGTCGTCTAGTGGAGGTGCTTTTTTAGTGCTTTGTTTTATTTAAACACTTTCTCATTATTTTATTATAAACACTCCAAACAAAGTTTAAAGTGCAACCGATAATGGGTCACTTTGTACGGTTATACGTTATCTTGAGAATTGTCATAACTTGAGCAAATAATTTTAACCAATATACAAGAATTTGAATAAAGTAAGATATGTTAATAAGAGCTAATAATAAATGTATTCTAATTATTAATATTTCTTAGTTCATTAGTTATGACATATTCTCAAGTAACCTACTTCCCTTTATAGATACGAGTGAGAGTAGAATAAAACACAATGGCAGTAGGTACTACTCGTACGAATTAACATGACACCTGAGGCCCTTTTCCATTTGTTCTCGAACGAAAATTCGTATATTTTCAAATCGTTCGTCGTCAAATCGCACCGACAATCTTCATTGATATGATTTAAAAATAACCTATAAGTATTTTTAAATCATATATCAATGAAGATTGTCGGTGCATCGGAGGCAGTCAGATAATACCTCCGTTCCATTATATACTATCGGTAATTACGTTTCTTTGGAGGATTCGTAAATTGATAAAATTCCATTTTCAGGGAAATAGAATAGGCCGTCAGGTGTCGTGTTAATTCGTACGAGTAGTATTTCCGTTGCATTAACTATATTATACTCGTATTTGGTTTTAATAGTGTTAAACTGGAGACCAAAACCAAATAAGTAGGTACCCAATCGAAGGTCACATATGCAACTGAGTCATAGACCAATTTTATGAGGTAGGTAGGTTAATTAACGATAACATACCTAGTTCATCCACCAATGTGGAACATTTATCTGAAACTTAAAATACTCCAGAAAAATATATATAAAATCATTCCGAAATAGGTATAATCTATTTCAATACTAATCGATACACGTAACGCCATCTATTGAGAATGCCATGAACAAATTTTTCTTTGTTTTAATGGAGCATACGTGTTAACCCATTATCATAAACAATTCTCTGTATATACAAACAATAATGGAAAATAACACCAATAGAATAGACGGTTAATTAATATACACTTAGGTTACTTACTATAACTCAATCTTGACTTCGAGGGATTTCTTTCTGCGCAGTCACAGCACCGGCGGTTCACTTTAGCCACAGACTTAGTATCTTTAGCGATGTCAAACTGTTTTAGTGTTTAAAGCATAAATTTTCTATTAATAATTCGTGAGCTGGGCTGCCAGTATTGGTATATTATTTTATACACATTCGTGTCGTTGTTAATAATATTTACAAACTAATGTTTTTTACCAATATTTTTTTTCCTAAAATGCATTAGGTACATTGGGTTGGGAAAAAGTCGTTTCGCATATAGTATGCATGAACTTGTAATAAAATGTTTCTGGAATTTACAATTTGTACCTGGCTGATTTCGGTATCATTAAAAAGTTTAGGTTTTAACTCCGAATTCAAATTAGGAAAATGTGTGATTTTAATTCGTTTTTCTCAATGATATTAATATGTCTAGATACGCAATACATACCCAAAATGTGAAGCTACTAAAACTAAGACGTTTGTCTTAGTTTTTTCGTTTTTCATATCAATACTCATTCAACTCCCGCCGAGAAAGTACAAAAAAATGCTCCGCAAAAACGAAGAAAAACAGTGGATAAAATACGATTCTCTTTCACAAATACACATAATACGAAAGAATATTAAGTTTCACACTTCAGTCATTAACATTTTTGGCAATAAAAACAAAATTAAAGCTAGTATATAAAATAAAAATATTTAATTTTCACAAATAAAATTTTGACATTTTATCGTCAGTGTTGCCATTGCTATTCACTTTCAATTTTCCCCACTATATGGGAGCCTTTTCATTTTATTGTACGTGGCAATAAATTAGCATATAAATACCTTTTTTTAATTAATAATATAGCTCAGATTTAGTATAGGCAACTGTGTAAATTGTGTTGATATTTTTTTCATACACAGATGCTAAAGCGGTTTAATTTTTTTAAGTAAATTTAATTTTTTCAAGGCAATGGAATTCGTTAGTTGTCGAGATACAGCTTTTAAAAATACGTAAAATTGAACCTTTGATCTTTTGTTAATTTTAACAAATGTTTTTGTCTTAACCACTGACTTTATCGAAAAATAAAGGGATGCACAGAGCCTACTTTCGTGACTTTTTTTTTTCAAAGAAATTTTCAAAGTTACAGTATTTTACTAATTGATTTTTATATATATATCTACACTACTCGTTCATTCATTCATTCATCACAATGGGTAAAATTTTCGACAGCTGGCAATACAATATCAATTACCCATTTTTCCGTTCATTCTGTCGTTCGCACATATTCTGTCTTTGTTTAATTTAAAGTTTAATCGTAGATATGAGGGAGACAAATATAATAAATCTATATATAATATATAGTATAAATATTATTTGCAAAGCTACGTCCTGATTTCGGAAAAGTGCTACGCTTTTTGGCGCGTCTGTTGTATGGGATTGCTTCTCTAGTTATTAAACTCATTGGTTTTTCTTAATGTCAAAATGAGTGAATCGAGTGAAGAAATTCAATAGGTACATTTTAAAATTTTATTACAAAGAAGGTAAAAATGCAACGCAAGAAATATGTTATGTGAACGCAAGCCGCGAAAACAAATTTGTGACGTTTATGGACCTATTGCCAATGATGTATTAAAAAGCCCATTGCAGTTTTTGTGAGAGAAGAACAAAATTTTTTTAAGCGTTTTCAGCAATGATGTTAATATATCTAGATACGCAATACATATCAAAAATCTGAAGCTACTAAAACTAACACGTTTGTCTTAGTTTTTTCGTTTTTCTCTTCATTACTCATTCAACTCCCGCCAAGAAAGTACAAAAAAAATGGTCCGCAAAAACAAAGGAAAACAGTAGATTAAATTCGATTCTCTTTCACAAATACACATAATACGAAAGAATATTAAGTTTCACACTTAAGTCATTAACATTTTTGACAATAAATACAAAATTAAAGCTAGGTTATAAAATAAAATTATTTAATTTTTACAAATAAATTTTTTTACATTTTGGCATCAGTGTTGCCACTGCTATTCACTTTCAATTTTCCCAAGTATATGGAAACCTTTTCTTTTTATTTTACGTGGCTATAATTTATCTAAATATCTTTTTATAATTAATTATATAGCTCAGCTTAAGTATAGGCAACTGCGCTAATTCTGTTGATAATTTTTTTATACATGCACACAGATGCTAATGTGGTTTAATTTTTTCAATGCGTGGAATTCGTTAGTTGTCGAGATACAACTTGAAAATACGTAAAATTGTTTGTTTGATGTTTTATGAACTTTGACAAATGTTTTTGTCTTAACTGACTTTATCGAAAAAC